TTCCTCATTTTTGGGGTTTTTGGGAAAAATAGGATTTTTGATGATTTTGATGTGTTGATTCGTTGCTTGTTGAATATGAGTTCATTTTTGAACTGTATGAAGCTTATATGTTGCGTAATTGATGGAATTAAGTTGTTTACATGTTGTTAAATATATTAAAGTTGTATAGTTATATAGTTGAATAGAAAGTTTTCAAGCTGGTATATAATGTCTATTGTTGTATTGTTGTAAGTTGCCTATCGTTGTAAGTTGCCTATCGTTGTAAGATGCCTATTGTTGCATTGTTGTAAGTTGCCTATTGTTGTAAGATGCCTATTGTTGTAAAGTTGTTATGATGCTATAGTTGTAAAGTTGTTATGATGCTATAGTTGTAAAGTTGTAAAGTTGTCTATTGTCGTAAAGTTGTAAAGCTGCCTATTGTTATAAAGTTGAAAAGTTGGGGACATACGGTGAAGATATATGTCCTATGTTGAGATATATAGTACTAAGGAGATAAGTTGAAAGTTGTTTTAAAGTTGAATCCCTTAGTACTGTGTGGGCGACATGGAAGTAGTCGATCCATGTCATGGTTGAATGACCAATTTGAGTAAGGTATCTAGTTAGAGATGTAGTGTTTGACTAGGTACTGGAGGGTGCGTGGTACTTGGAGGACAGTGGGTGGGCTAACTACATATGTGGATTGGTGATGCTAGCCAAGGCCGTGGTAGGCTCATGTTATCTCTCTTGCCCCCGGGTATAGAGGAAATTTGTTGTGTGCAAGGGTTTGTGTACAAATATTTTCAAACATGTAGATATTAAAGCCACACTAAAAAATAATTATTTACAAACAATATAAAAGGGGTAAGAATTTAATTATTATTTTTTATTATGCTAAAATTTTCACTAAATGGGTCTGACCAAAAGGACTGAATTTTTTATTATCCAGAATGCCAGGTAATTTAATTATTATTTTTTATTGTAAGGTAGTAAGTGATTTCAGAAGGCCCAAAAGCCTAGTATGGGTGATTTAGTAACCCAGAACGGACCATTTCAAACTACTAAATTGACCTATAAATCATAGTTGAGAACGGGTCGTTTCAAACCCCAGAACGGGCCGTTTTAGATGGAGAACGGGTTGTTCTAGATGAATCCCAGAATGGGCTATTCTGGTTTTAGAACGGGCCGTTCTGCATGTGATTTTTGCACATGATGAAGGGGTGCAGAACGGGCCATTCTGGATTCGAAACGGGCCATTCTGGCCACTCCTGAACTTCTATAAATAGGACTTGTGGGTAGTTGAGGAGAATGAGAGGTTTTAGAGAGAAGTTCTAAAGAGAAGGACTCTAGGTCTGTGAGCTCCTTTCTCTCTCTAATTTCTCTGTATGATTCTTCTTCTCCTCTAGATCACTAATGTCTTCTGTCTTCTCTTGAATTTCAGACTAGAAAGCTTGTTTTTGGAGGATTGAAGTTCAAGAGTTAAGTTTTGGAGGATATTTCTTCTTCTTCTTCTTCTTCTTCTTCTTCTTCTTCTCTGATTCTTGGCTTTTTAGAGCTAATCTTCAGGTGAGGGAAGCAAGAATGTAGGTTGTTTAATTTTAGGAGAGTTAGGAACTCCATTGATGTATGACTTTGAGAAGTGGTTGAATTAAAGAAATTCCTCATTTTTGGGGTTTTTGGGAAAAATAGGATTTTTGATGATTTTGATGTGTTGATTCGTTGCTTGTTGAATATGAGTTCATTTTTGAACTGTATGAAGCTTATATGTTGCGTAATTGATGGAATTAAGTTGTTTACATGTTGTTAAATATATTAAAGTTGTATAGTTATATAGTTGAATAGAAAGTTTTCAAGCTGGTATATAATGTCTATTGTTGTATTGTTGTAAGTTGCCTATCGTTGTAAGTTGCCTATCGTTGTAAGATGCCTATTGTTGCATTGTTGTAAGTTTTAATAGATATCTAATACGAGTAAAGATATACTCCAATACAAACTAACCAAATTCTTTCTTCATGAGTATGAGTCAACCTAGCCACTTCAAAGAACAAAGGTCTTTGGAATGTTGGTTGAGATCACTTTGTAGGTTAGAAAGAAGAGGGTGGTGGTCGAATTTCACTAAAGGCAGATTCCGAACAACTACTTTAGGGAAAAATGACATTCCATCTTAAACAAAGCTCTATCTAAGCTCTAATACACAACTGAACCTTGGAGACTTTTGTCCTCACCATGCAAAATGGGAGCCTAGATGTACCCAAGATCAGTGATTTTGCTTTCAATCTTTAAACTTCCCATATCTGAAGAACTTGCTTCCAGAATCAAGCTTTCAAACTCTCGATAAGTTTCGCATAGAGAGCAATCAACAAGCACTCACTCTTCTTTTCTTAAATTACCTATATAAATATGAACGAACTAAAAGTCATCCTGAAGGACATCCACTAATATATCTTTAATCTTTCACAAGACCAAAATCCCACCAAAAGAACCTTGAGGTTCTAACCAATGCAATGACAGTTTTAACCACTTTCTCAACCTTCTCACCACTAACCCTAGTTTCAAAAAGAAAAGACACAACTCTCGGGTGAATTAAGTCCATTCTTACACCATGAAACCTCGGCGGCAATTCCAAACCAGAATCTTCCACACAATAAGGTAAAGACTATACCACCCATCTTGCAATGAGGCTACCCATCAGATGACAAGCAATCCAGTTGCATTTATCTCATCTCTCAAAAGATTGGATTGGTTGGACACCCTTATGATGACTGCCAAAGCTATGCAATCTTTATTCCAACTTCCTTTGTGTTGTTAAGGATCTACACACGCATAATGTTGTAGCTATAGGGTGCCACCCGTAGCCAACCCCTATATGCTTTAGCCCTCATTTTCCTCTAATTTATTTTTGGCTTCTTCATTACAAAGAGCTTCCTAATCTTTGGCAACTAGGGGATTTATAAGGCTCCTCTTGTTGTAGGTCTTCAAACTACATTAAACAAACTAGAACACCTTCAATTGCTTTCTACATTCGCCAGTTCAACATTCTCAATCTTTTTTCTAGCAGGGATGGAAATCAAACTAAAATGTGACCTTTCTTTCTATTTACATTCTTTTCCATTCAATCTCTCTTTCCTCCCTAGCTACTACAACTAGAAGTAGCAAAGCTTACTCGAAAATGAAAGGCATCCAATATGAGTATGCCACAATTATAGCTACTCTTCTTATTCCTACCTGCATTAACTTAGCATGTTGGTTTAATCTAACCTTATAGACTAAAAGGAAGGGATGAAAGAATTCTAGTCCACGAAAACCTAGGCTTTGAAGATGTATAGGTTTCCATCCTAATGAGAGATTGCTAGAGGAAGGCAGTGCTTGGGTAGTAGTCATATATCTTATTCTTAAACTACTACATCGTATCATCTCTTCACTTTCTAATAAGCTACTTTAGCAGCAACAGCTTTAGGATTAAGGCTACACCGTCCGCTCACTAATCCCTTATCCTCCACTTGCTTTCATGAGTCATCATTTGCTAGTACCAGAATTGGATGCTAACTTTGCTTTCTTTCCTTATTTATTTTCCTAGCTTGAAAGCCATTCACTCACCGAAATGAGCCACCAAGTTGGAGCCCAGGAAAGAAGCACCACTTCTTTATTGTTTTAAAACTCCACTCTAAACCTGAATCGTAGAACTCAAACATGATAGATTTCTCATCTCAAGTTAATCAATTCAATGATTGGCTTATTTCTTGCTCAAGTCAAATCACAGCCTGATCAATCAAAGGAAAAGGTGTAACTGTTTACCAGGCTATTCCCATTTCGAAAAAGACCAAATACAAATACCATTATGAGTAGCCTTTCCCACCATGTCGAGCAAAGAAGGCAAAGGTGCCCTAGGGAAGACTAAGTCAAGACAAAAGCCAAAAGCTTAGTCGTTTTCAAGTCTATGGGTGAACGAACAGAATTTCTATTTCATTCAAAGCCTGGTCAAGGACTCATTGAGAATGATACAACAAAATATATATAAATGATGCATGAAGAATAGAAAGAAAGAAAGAAAAAAAGATTGAAAAGAACTACTAGCACATATTGAAGAGTTTGAGCAATGGCCTTTGTTCACATCCTAATTAGGTTCCATCTAGAGGAGACTCATTAGGGTAAAGGATGCAATAGTTTTAGAAGTCCCAATAGTTACCAACTTACCATCTTTGGTGTGATAAGCAAAAGAAGGGGCAAGTTAATTTTCAAACAAAGATTGTCACATTATTCCTTTCATACTTTACTAAAAATGGAAAGTGAAAATGATAAAAGAAAGGGATCAACTAGTCGCATAGAAAACAAACCTTTTCTCTTTACTGACTATGGAAAGTTTTCCACCAACCATGAAGAGAAGTAGATGTACTGAAGCTAGAAAGCAAGGAGTATAAGGCCAAGAAGCAGAGTAGGCATAAATGACGTTGATCAAAAGTGAGTCGTTCATGAAGCATGGAAGTAAAAGGAGGCACAGAGAGCGTCGCTACTCTCTTTTCGGGAAAGATCACTCTTAGGAGGCCCACAAGACATCAAGAGGGAGAGGAAAAAAAACCCCTCTATCACTACCCTAAGCTCCCTTTTCACTTGCTTACAAAAGAAGAGAAAGGCAGGTATTTTTTTTAGTACAAATAAGGAAGAAACTGATATATGTCAACCCTCACATTATTAGAGTGAAGAAAAGATTCCTACTTCAAGGTCCTTAGATTAGACCATTGGCTTATTTGGCCTAAAGGCAAAATCAAAGCCAAGAGGAATTACAAACAAAAGCACTTCTACTCCTCTCTTAAATTGAAAAAAGTTGTTCACAAGCTTGAACCGAGTCAAACTCAAGCTGGGAAAAATGTTCATGTCCTACTCTAAAAGTTTCAAGTTGAGCAAAATATTATCAAATGGAGCTGAGCTCAACTCGACTCATTTCCAGCCCTACACACAACATCTAATGCCATTGACATAGAAATCCAACAACTATATAAAGAAAAACAAATGAAAATCCATGATACCTCAATGATAAAGTGTCGAGAGAGGCGTTTCTTCCCCTTTGCAACCAATTGATACCCTAAATGGAATAACATCAAAACCACAATGACCAATAGGAATATTAAATCAATAAGATTTAGCCAAAAGATAAGCTATTGAATCAATTAAGTGCAACTTTATTAAAATATGTATATCATAAATTAACAAAAGAAAATGAGAGATCCAGATATAAGATTGAAGCTAACTTGAATCAACTACCATACGGTAGGAGTAATCAGAGCCATCAGTTCCAGAGGGCCTTCCAGAAGCCAATTTTCTATGTTGCATCTTCTTTGTTTTCACACCTTGAAATGTAGATGACCCTCCTTCCTAATCAAGCTGAGTCAATTATAACTACAAGAGAATTAGAGAAGTTGTTAGGAATGTGGGGAAGGGTAGTTTCAATAGAGTTGCAATTAGAATTTTAGTTAGTTAGAGGGAGGGAATCGATGACATAAATAAATATGATAACTTAAGGGACGCAAATTCACTAATATCTGCCACCATTTGTAAATTGAGCATTTGGTTTTTGAGAAGGTAGAAATCCTAAAGGAGAAACCCTCCGAGGAGAGATAATTTTGCCCCATTCTCAATGCTTCAATAAAATTGTTCAACAACATTGTTTGTTTCCATCAATTTCTCTCTTCTCATTCCCAAGTTCATAACAGAAGTTGTTTTTCTCGGTTTAACAGGTATAAATAGCAACTTCCTAGTGTAACTTACCCATTTTAGGAGTAAATTAAAAACAATGGGAACATGACAAAAGCAGCTTTTGAGTACAAAAACAAGAAAAAAGAAGAAATAACAATAATCAGTTTACCAGGAAAACCATGTGTCAAGAAAATGATGACTGATGACCATCTAAGGATTTGCTAATCTCTGCCCACTTATGAGGATTTATAGCTGTATTGTTATTTTGCTACAAGTTAGACATTTATCTCAAGGAAAAAAAATGGTTTAATGGGGTTTTAAATAGTAAAGTACAGCAGTATAGAGGCCTCTGGCAACTACAGTGGCTGCTGTAGCAGGGAAGTTTAGTGCTGCAATTGTAGAAGACCAAATAGTGGGCTGAATAGTGACTGTAACAGACAGGATAGTGCCGTTATGTGTTGATTCTATAAAAGCCCTCTAGACAGAGGTTAGGACTTTAGTGGAGGGGGGGCATTTTTGGGATTTCAATCTCCAAAAATGAAATCTGCAGCTGTAATGAAAATGATAAAGAAGACTTGGATTTAGAAGATGATAATTGATGATTCCTATCATGGAAACTTGTATTTGACTCTTGGTATTTACTTGAATGTTTTGTTTAAGATACCTATGACTTTTTATTGTTAATTATGTATGTCATGACTTGAGTAACTTGTATCATTTTTGAGAATTTATACATATATAGTATACATTATATAAACAAGATAAAAAATTTCAGAATGGTGGCTATCCCACTATCCTGCTATAGCAGTTTTGGGACCAGCCACTATATCCAGGATTTAAAACACTATCATAGCCAAAACATACGTTACGGCCAACTAGAATTTTAAACAAAAGTCAAACATCAAAAGGTGTGATGCTCATATAAAACACTCTTCAGGTAACAACATCCAAGACTATCAATATATCCTTATTTTGTATTTAATAATGTGATATATCAGAATTAGACATAACAGGTTGTTCTCTGAATCTCTGCAGCTGATGATAGCAGTCCATGTTTTGCTTTGTTGTCCTGGTATGATAAATCATGTCTGACTTACAAGCAAATCTTGCAGACAACAATCCTAATGCACTATGGCTTATCTCTGAATTGATATAGGTTTTGGTCTTATTACTATGCCACCTTAGATTTAAATTGTTCTTAACTCTGTTTTGCAGCATAAGATGTGTTGGAGCAGGTTGTGAATTGGATGACCATGGATGAGATATTCAATTCTTCAATCAATTTGGAGGAAACCTATTATAACTTATGAGGAAGGCTGCATCCATGGTCTGATCACCTGTAAAGAAGGAGACTAGAAGGTTTGCCTAAAGTATAACTTAAGGGTAAGATGAGAATCTCAGTTTCTACAGTATGTCAGCATCTAGACCTCTAAGCAACCTGAGCAGTGACTCTCCATGGGCAAAAATGAGTATTTCATAGAAGGGGAAGTTGATACAAAAATAAACTCTCATGGATCCATAAAATCTGCAATTGCAAGAGATCACTCCAATTCAAAATTAGTTTTTTTTGCTGCATTTCAAGATTGTGATGGTTTCCAAAATCCTGCGTGAAATGATATATCGAACCACTTGTGATTTTTTCAATCTTCTAGAAAAATTCTTGTGCAGAATTACACATTAGAATTTTTATAAACATTAGTACAAATCAATGTACTAAATAACAATTTAATATTAAAAATGTGTATAATTGCTTATTTATTCTAGATATGTTGTGTAGAGAACATTCATACAAGAACCTTGCTTTTTGTTATTTTTTATGCATAATTGTTAGTGTCACACAATTCAAAATTTGAAAATCTTAACAAGCAAAAAGGGTTCATGTGATAAATGGCAAATGTCTTTGAATTGTATGCATAAATTGGTGCACTTCCATATCATTGATATAAATCAAATGATTCAACAATCATCTTGAGACACCTCAAATTTCACAGATTTATTTATAATTGTGTTAATGGTATAACGTAAAATAGTTGTACTACACCCACTTGCCTCACATAGCCTTGGATGGATCAACAATCAAATAATATTCCTTCACACTTATGAGGAACATTTTACTATCTCATAGTGTTCCTATCAAACTTCTCATTATTGGTGACCACAATGGAAAGTTAAGAGCACTTTAAGCATAAATAATACATGCCCTTGTAGCGACATAAAACTCATCTGAACTCAATTTTCACCTGTAAAAAATCATTTGCAATCTTTGCCCCTTTTTGAAAATTTTAACCAATGATTCTTTAAGACAAATGTAAAAATAGGTCTGAATCTAGGCTGAGCTGAACCCAGCAAAAAATGCCCATGCCCTAAATCTCACATAATGTCACGAAAGCAACCACAAAACAACAGTGTAAGTGGCTGAATGTGACAAAACCTTTTTCAAAAGAATAAAATGAAATAGAATAAAATCAGATAAAGGAGTTATCAAATAGGGTGCGTTTAGCGGTGTTCCTGTTCATTCAACAAGTTATATTTTTTGAATTTTCAATTTTTTTATAATAATTTGATTCATATTGACTATATATAATTGCAACAATTAATGAACATCCATATAATTCAAAGTCATTTGCGATTCATCACATGATATGAACCTTGACTTATTTAACCATATTGAATCAAATCACACAATTTTAACTATGCAAAAAAATAACAAAAGAAAACAGTGATACTTGAATAATATTCTCTACACGACTTATCAAGAATACATTCATAAACAATATATACTTTATCATTTTTAATACAAAATAATTATTTAAACAATGACTTACACAACTGTTTATAAAATGATAACATGTAATTTGCTCATCAACTTACCCAACTTAGTGTTTCTCTACACTTGGATATCTCTAGAAGACTGAAACTATCTTAAGTGGCTCAAAACTGAATATCATTGGCCTCTGTAGAAGATTTTGGATAGCCATTATACTCAAGTTTAACATGCAATGAAGAACAAACCATCTTGAACTTAAGCCTAAGACTATCCATGATCTCTTGCACTCGTACATTTTCCGGATCCATGAGAGGGTATTTCTGGATCAACTCCTCCATCTGGCCAATAATTGTTTTGCCCCTTGGAGAGAAACAGGTCGGGTCAAGCTGGATTGCAGAAGTCCAAATGTCAACACACCCCCTATAGAAACCAAGCTCCTCACCAACCTCAAAGCCAACCTTGAGGCCAACCTGTCTGGCTTCTTCCTTGCCAGCGACAAGGCCATGGCTGTAGCCTTCATCATAGCCTTCCTTGTAATGGGTGTCCTCCAAATTCAGCGAGGAATCAAACAAGTCATCCATGGGCCTGCTCCAACACAACAAATGCTACAAAACTGATACCAAGTTGAGATCAAACTAAAGGTGATATAACATAGTAAAAGGACCAAAACCCGATTCCAATCAAGTGAAAATAAGCAACAATGCAGCAGACATTTTATCAAGATTGGAAAGAAGTCTGCACTGTAATTTCTCACAAAACAAGCCCAAATCCAATAATCATAAAATTCACTAAGAAATTAAACAACACACATAGAGAATAGCGTAAAACTTCCACCGATGTTAATGTAAACAGTGCTTACTGATTCAATTTCATTTCCCATTCGATCTTCTCCAGAAAAAAAGGCAGAAAGAAAAATAGGTCCTCTCGAACAACAAAAGCAAGCGCAAACAAAACAGAAGGAAAGAAAAATAAAATCACCTGCCTGTGATTGCTGTTCTGCCACTGCCACAAGCTGAAGAGAGAAGAAGTGAAACAATGGAGCTAGGGTTTGGTTTCAGACTTCCGTTCGCGTAAGAATTTCACCGTCAAATATCTCCCATTTCTTTTTCATTTAATTTTAGATTAAACTAATATTTTTTTAAGCTTCTTCGACTTAAAAAGTGAATTAAAGATAAATTATATTTTTACTCTCTTTACCAGTGGTAACCTGTCTATATGTATTTATCTTAAAATTAAAAACTATTTATTTATTGATATAAATAATTTTACACTGTTTATATGATTATTTTATCATTATTAATTAATGAAATGCATATTAATTAGTAATATTATAAAATTATAAACATTTGTTACTTTTTTTACTTATGACTCTATTGTTTTCTTTATATTTATTTTATCTATAACAATGGTTAAAATATAATAAAAAAAGTATGTTTTACATAATTATATCTGTAAACATAGATTAAAGTAATATATATAGAGTTAATCACTTATACAATGTTAGTGTAAAATTTTTTTACACTGACAACCAATTATATCTTTTAATTGTGTCATGTCACTATAAATATATAATATAAAAATATATATATAAAACTTTTAATAGTGACATGGCGCAAAACTCATATATATATATATATATATATATATATATATAAGAGATCCTTTTACTCTAGAAGGAAGTCTACTTAGACTTACTTCGTTTAATAACTCATGTTATACATCAAATTTCAACGATCCAACCGTTCAATTTAAATTTCTTAATGTATAGATCAAATTTGTGAACTTTTATAAAATTTAAAAATTATTTGATACTTGGTTTCATTAATTCAAATTGACTGATAATCATAAAATCATTATATACATTGATTCGAATTAATGAAACGAAGTATTAAATTATTTTTAAATCTTCTAAAAATTTGCAGATTTAATATATGCATTAAAAGCTTTAAATTGAACGGTTGGATCATTAAAAAAAGGACTAAATTTGATAAACACATTCAGTGTATAATTACATAAAAAAAATTAATTAATTTAATTAAAAATAAATAAATATTGATTAAATTAAAATAGAATTATATAATATTTAATTATATTATAAAAAATAATCTTATTTATAATAATTTTCAAAATAATATTTTAATCATGTGAGGGGGAGATTTGTTGGGTATTGTGTTCCCTTCCTATGTGGAGAAAAGGCCCAAAATTGAGAAGTCTAAATTTTGTCTCACTTAAAAACCAAGTAGAGATGGGTCTCTTAAGGAACAAGAGAGAGATAAAGTTATACAACCGTCAGAAAGAGAAAGAAGAGGGAAAAAGAGCAAAAAATTTTGTATCTTCCTTTTGATTGTTGGGATTGTGGATTGGAGGTCTGTGGTTGGAAAAATCAATTTCGTATAGTTGCTCTAATTTGAGACTTCTTCTTCTTTATTCTTCAGTTGGAAGGCCTTGTTGCTTTAATATATTGGTTGGTTGTAAGCATTTGTTTATGCATTTGATTAGACTCTAATTTGATCATACTGGAGCTTGATTGACTAGCTTGTGTCCATGAGTTTTTATTTCTCACATTGAGAGGGTTTTCCCACGTTAAAAATATTTGTGTCTCTTTGTGATTATTTTTTGTCATTTATTTGTTTTGTTGCTCCTCGTTGGATTTTGCAAGTTGGGAGAATTATTTCCGTTGTGTACTTTGGTACTCCTGATTATTCTGTTGTTGTTTCCCCTATCAAAGGTAAGGGGAGGAGACTTTTTTTAATTTTCTATATTATTATATTTATTTACTTTATGCTATATTTATGTATATTTATTTTTTTATGCTATATTTATGTATATTTATTTAGTGAGGTGCCCTAACTTTATTTATTTGTTTAATCTATGATACTTTTTATTCTAAATAATCAATAAGGTGTTTCTAATTTATGTTGTTTATAACTGTTATTTATTAGATTAATATTCTTTAGTACATCTCATTTCTGTAAACTATGTTATATAAATTTTAAATAATAAAAAATATTCTAATTTATTTAGCTTAATTATATTATATTAATTCTAACTATAATCTAATCTTGTTAATTTATTTAAGCTCATCTTATTATTATATTATCATTCATTATAAAGTTAAGTGTTAATCTATGGCCATAAGAAAAATGAAAGTTTGAATTAAATTGTAGTTGAAGGTTTAACCTTAGGGATTTAAGTGAGTAAAAAACTTAAGGTGAAATATCCTTTTGTTATTTGAGATTATGATAAAGCTCATTCATCCTGACTAGTCCCTACAAAAATAATTCAAATTTTTATTTAGCAAGAAAAACTAATATATACCCTTAATATTGGTTAAAATATTCCTATGCATTTTATTTAACTCTCGGTATTTATTGAATAATTGTTCTCACTCCTTATTTTTCTTTGTTTTAAAATTAAACTAAAAATATTACAATAGAAATGGATCTACCAGTGATTCCAAACCCTTTTACAGTTGTTATTACTATTGTCTTCCTTGGAGGAAATTAGAATATGGACGCAATTTCCAACTCCGTCACTTTTCAAGGAATAGGACTATCTTCATTTGTATTTTTCCCCCAACCAAGAGAACCCTACTATTATCGATGGATCTATCATAGTAACTTTCTTTTTACCACCTGCCAACCATGTCAATCCAATTGTAAATTTATTTCCACCACCAATGTAATTATTGTAATAATTGAGTAAAAAAATAGTTTGTAAATATGTACTTATTGTAAATATATGTACATTATTTCATGGAATTTCTTTTGTCTTTATTAAAAATATTATTAGTTATTAATTTTATAATTGCGTTAGTAAAACATTGTTTAGTATTAAAATTTAGAACCATAAAAATAGGTGTTATAAACACACATTTTTATTTAATGACATAGAGAGCAAGCAAGTATGTATATATTTGCTTTGGTGTTCTGCTGCAAAACATTGTAATCTTCCTAAGTGTATTGATTTTTAGGCTTAGTTACCTTAATGTCACATTGGCTGATAATCCTCCACAGCTGGTATTGGGTGTGGACTTAATAAACGTTTCCATCCTGCCCTTCCATTATGGATAGTCCTATTTGTTAAAGGCTAGAGGCCTTGTGAAAAAAGCTCTTTCTATAGCAAGTACTATCTTTCACTACTTCCCATACCAGATGCTCAAGCCTGTCAAAGGCTAAGCTCTAATACCAATTGTTGGATAAAAAGATATGAAGTTGGCGAAAAAACACACAGAAGAGGGGTTGAATGTGTGTGTGAACAAAAGAATTTTAAAACCATTTTGGCAAAGAGACCCTTTTTCGTCTAATATAGATATTATTTTCAATACTTAAAAATTTTGCAAGGTTGGCTCAACAAAAGAGTTTGCGTTTAAGAGTTTATCGTCTGCTGAAGGAAAATGTTTCTTAAAAGGAAAATGTTTCTTAAGATAATAAGTTAAACAAGTATATTTTTCGTTTGAAGATAGTTAAAAAAAATAAGTAGTGGACGAAATTTTCAGTATGATATAACAGCTAAACAAAATTGCATTTGAAAATAGATAAAGAGTGCAAAGAGTTTTATACTGGTTCGCTCGACCTGAGCTACGTCTAGTCTCCTTCAACTAAAAGGTTCCACTAATCACAACAGATTACAAGTATTATCAACCACTTCTGGTTCGTCAACTTCACTCGTCAACACTAGTATTCTTAAACCACTTCTAGTTTCCCAAGTATTATCAACCACTCCTAGTTCGCCAACTTCACTTGTCAGCGCTAGTATTCTTAAACCACTTCTAGTTCTCTGATTATTTTCAACCACTCCTGGTTCTCCAAGTATTCATTAAACTAGCCTCTTCAAGCTTTACAATAGATGGATGGTTTGAGTGTGTGTATAACTCTCACAGAGAGGATAGGATGATTTCTACACTCGCTAAGGTATCCAACCTTAGTTTTACAGAGATGTGTTGTTGAGTGTGTATATTACTCTCACAGAGAGGGTGGGATAGTTTCAACACTCATTAAGATAAGTTATCTTAGATCTACACAAATATACGAGACTGTACAGGCAGAGATATAAGTTTGCTTTAACGTTTGCTTTTGCTCGTTGCTTCACTTTTCTTCTTTCTTCTCTTGTTTGGTCTTGATATTTATAGCCTCATGGTAATTCTGACCTTTGTTTGAGTTTGAAAGTGTTCGTTGGAGCGGAGCTTCTCGTTGGTGCAGATAGTAGTTCGTTCATGGCTATATAGATCTTTCATTTAATGCATTTGATCTTGCATTAAATGTTTGCTTGCCAAATTTGTGTTACGTGAAGTCTTTTGCATAGTTTGTTCACTTTTATGTCTGACTTCGATCATAACCTAGGTATATCTATTCACTTTCCGTCATTTTAGCTGTAGAGGCATTGTCTTTTTCTGAAAAGCAGGTGTACTTTTTCTAACACACGCAACTTTGACTTGTGGATTCGCGCTTGACTATCTTTCTTCTTTCTTCTCACGATTTTGATGACTTCGTGTGCTCTTCTATGAATGTAGACGATATATGATATCTCTCGTTGTGAACAGTGGACTTTAGACGCTTTTCAATATTCTTCGTCTGCGTCTGGTAATGCATCTTAAATTTGACTTTGACTTTTCCATCTGTTTGGTCAGTTGTGAAGATGGACGACTTTAATTCCGTCTAGAACGTTTCTTCGTTTTGTGTTATCCATCGTCTGATACTTTGTTGACCTTCGTCTGGTTGTATGCCTTGTCTTGTATTTGTTGTATTTTTCGTTTGGTTTTTGATCATTATCGTCTAGTATAGCTCACCCAGGCTTCGTTTGGTTTGACCATAGTATGTGTAATAATACGCACTTCATTTTTCAGTTTTGCCTGTTCTTATATTTATCTGAAACACTAACACACATGTTAGAAATAACAATATGTATTATAATTGTCATGTTCAAAACTTTGTTGGGGATTTCTTCGTCTGACCTAACAAGATACACACTAG